GGAGTTCAGGTGCCCATTAAGTTCATTTATGGTTTGGCTCTGCTGGCTGTTTCCTTTCAATCTGAGGTGTTATCTATCTTGGATTACTTGCTCTTCAAGCACAGAGACTGAGTGTCCATGCCATTGCTTAAGGCAGTGCATGGATAGATTTGTTGGTCAGGGATGTGCCTCACCCTTGAACAGATCTGACATTCCTTCCTGTAGGAGGAGTAGAAATGGCCTAAGTCCCGTTTGGACCAATGTCTAAACAACTGTGATTTCCTTTAGCATGTCTATGTATTTTAAGGAAAATAAATGCCCCCACTAGTAAGGAAAAAGCTCTTTCTTATTTGAAAATCAAGAATCTTAGTTTGAACTGGCAGGTTTTAAGTCTCCAAGGAAGTCTGAGGTTGAAGAATTTCAGCCTTCAGTGACCTTTGCTTTTGAGGTTTTGATTTAATTTTGACAGCCAGGTGGTTAGCGGAAGGGAAGGGCGTCCCCTCAAGAACACTGGCCTCTTTTATTCAGTCTTTCTTTTAGTCACCCATTCAGAAATTATTCACTGACCTACTGCTCGGTGTAGGGTGCTGGAGGTTTAAAGTTATGTGCCGAAATCCGAGAGCACAGACTATGGCACAATTACTGGGCTCACCCAAGGTACTTTGTTTTCATGGTTGAAAGGGAAGTAAATCTGACAAGAATAACAGGGTGTGGGTCCTCAGCTCCTCATATTGGCTGGGAACCTGTCAGAGCAAGTGTGTAAATGCACAGCTCAGACATGGTGTCCTTCCTGCCTAAGAACTCCCCCAGGTCACCGAATGGTGGTTACTGATGCAGAGGAAGGAAGATGGCAGGGCCTTGGCTCAGGCCCTAGCCTACCGAATGGCAGGCAGTGGGGGCTCTTCAAACTAGGAAGAACCACAAAATTGATTTGGTCTAGACAGTGTGCTGTGGTCTTCAAGGTCAGTTCTGTAGTATAGAATAAATGTTACAAAGGCGTTTCTGCCCACGTTACTCATGCTCAACACCTTCTGAGACCCTCTCTGCAGGTATGTTGTGCCATCCCAGACTCTGGGATAGGACAGCATGGTGGGGGAGCACCTAGCTTGGAGTAGGACAGATCTGGGCCTGAATCCAGGCTCCACCACTTGCTAATCATAAAACCCTGGGCAAGTCCCTGCTGCTCTCCGAGCTTCCATCTCCTCCTCTGTAGACTGGAGGTAATTATATTATAGTTCCTACCTACTTCATGGGGTGGTCGTGAGGATGGAACGAGATCATTATATAAGGATTTAACTCTGTGGCTGACATGCAGTGAGTGTGTAATAGGCTAGCACTGTCGTTATTATCAGTCTTGTTATCATAATGAATTGCTTTGAAGTTCGGCATGAGTGCAGCGTCCTGCTGCATCCTCTGCTTTCTGAGATGCTCGTTTGTCCACGTCTCCATGTATTGTTTGCAACTGGTGATTTCTTCCAAGAGTTGTTCTGTAGATAATTGGCACGAGCTGAGCTTCCCAATATTTTAGAAATTCCAGTTCCTGGCAGGCGGGATATGCAGTTCCTGTGTGTGGCTCTTCCACCTTCAACCCTTTATCTCCAGGGTTGGCTGAGCAGGCCTGGCTGGTGGGATGGGTGCCCATGGGTCCCCTCTGCATTCTCCACTTGTTCCCCTCTGAAGTAACTGGTGAAGACAACAAGCTTCTCAATGGGAAGAAGACCAAGGGCATCAACAAAAAAAAAATCAAGAAATACTATTTTGGGGGATGCTGGCCATGTAGCAGGTATTGTACCAGGCTCTGGTGTTGTGACCATGACAGACCAAGTCTTGCCTCCATGGGCTTATGTCTCATGGAAAAGGTCAACTAAAAACCAGAAAAAAAATAATTAAATAAAATTATCTTTCTAAAATGGGTCCCCCCTGCTAGTCTCTGTCTCACCACCTTGTCTGACTCATTCACAGCAGAGTTCACAATCTGTAATTATTTTGTTTTCTTTGTACTCCCAATCAGTGGGCAGGGAACATGCCTGGCTCATTCAGTGCTGTATCCCAGGACAGGGCTTTGCATGTCAAAAGTGCTCAGTGAACATAGAGTGAAGTTATAAATGATTAAGCAATGCCTTGTGAAATTTTTGCTTCGAGCCCAGAGTTTAAACTTCAGGCTGCTTTTTTGTTGCTAGCTGTGGTCAGTCACCACTGTATGTAATGAAAATTGAAAAGAAAATCCACTTTCATAATCCAAGCAGCTTTTATGTTGCAAAATGTGTGGGTTTCTTAAGGAGATCATTCTATCCCAGATTAACTGTCTGTGGCTTAATTAAAAAGGCCATTAGAGGACATTTGTCTTCTGAACTTGACACTTGGGGCATGTGGAAGTGTCTGGCAGGTTAGGGGATCTGGGTAGTGTGCTGAGTTGGCCTGGAGAGGGCTGTGTGCCTGTGGGGTGAAGAGCTTCTCTTATTATCCCCTCTCTTTCACCAGTGTGGTGTCTAGGGCTACCAGGCTACTATCAATATGTCAGGTTGACAAAACAGTTGAGCCCTAGGAATAGAAGTATAACACCATAAAATTCTATTATCTGACAATACCAGGTAGCAGCAAACATCTGTGTAGCTTATCGTCTGCAAAACATGTAACAAGAGCTGCCATTTATTGTGTACAAACTATGTGCCAGGCCTTGTCACATGTCACCTATGGTCCTCAATACAGCCTGTCCTGGCAGGCATTATTCCCCATGTATGGATAACATCCCAGAGCCTCAACCTCCACATGGCACCTCCCAGGTTCCTAGGTGTAATACTGTAGCCTCTCAGGGCAAGAGAAGCTGAACTCAGGAAGTGCATGGTTTACTCTAGGCAGCGGGACACCTGGACAGCTGTTCCCCACGCCACACCTGAGCACATGTTGCTCATTGGTCACAGCATTCTTCCACTTGCTATGCCGTGTAGTCTTTCTCCATACAGTGCCCCAAGGAGACCCTACCAGACGTTCCAGGTGGCAGGTGAGACGTAACCTATTTGCCACACATATTTTAAATGGTGTAGGGAAAGGGTTTTGCCCTAGGAATTAGAATCCTGGATTCAGAGTGTTACACTGTAGCCATGTAACTTTGAGCAAATTGCTTCTCTCTCCTGACCTCAGTTTATTTACCTGTAGCATGGGAAATCCCTTGCCTGTACCTGCCTCAAAAAGTCACCATACAAATATAAGCCAGGGAATTTGTTTCACTGACACCACAGTGCTGTTTTTAATAGTACCTGGATGGTGAATCAGTAAGAACCAGGCCCCTGTATAAACATGAAGCATCCTCAAAAATGGCAAGTGTGCCTGGAGTGGTTGTTGGCATCGTCTTCTCAAGCCCCCACCTCTCCCCAAGACCCCGAGCGGAGTATCTGACTTCGTAAAAATCGCTTGGTGAGCTTACTAATGCAGATTCCTGGGTGCCGTCCTGGAATGGCTCCTGGCATCAGCATCTCTAAATCATTCCTCAGGTGATTGTGTGCATGCGGCACCACTGCTTCCATGGGAAAATATGTGGATCTAGAACTCTACTGCTCTGGCTGGAACCATGTGTGCCTTTGAGATCTGAAGTATCTAGGTAGCTGCCTATGCAAAAAGAGACCCCAGTCCCCTCCCCGCCCCGCTGTCTGGCAAACTGTTATTCTTCCTTTAGACTTATTCAAAAGCCTCATCCTCTGGGAAGACCTCCCTCACTCTGCTTCTAGAGTCCTCCAATCATGTTTGGAGCACCTGCTGTGTATCAGGCACTCTGCTAGGGTCTAAAATGCATTATTGCATTTATTCCTCTCCTTTTGACAGTAGAAGCTAATGTTACCACCACTACCCCCGCCCCTCACCCTGGAGTTGAGAAAGGGTTAAGAGAAGTGAAGTGACTTTCTCTAAGATGTTGGGATCTTACCACGTTACAGTTAATTGTAACAGGTCTATCTCTGCTACATGCACATGAGTTCCTAACCATGGGAATCGCTGACCTTTGCATTCCTGGGAGCAAACACAGGGCCTGGAGCATAGTAGATGCTCAACAACCTTTGCTGAAGTGAAGAAATTATAGAACAATTACAGTAATATGGACAAAAACAGTTCTGGTTGCTTTCCAATCTCTGCCTTTGTCCAAGCTCAGGGTTCAGATAGAGGAGGAGAAGGTAGATTTCTTTGGGAGTTGAAGAGCCCAAAGAGCCCCTTTAGACTCTCCTATAACCTCATGCCAGTGACTCTGGTCTTTTGGTAGCTTGGAGACTTAGCAAGTCACGGATTAGGGACTCAAGAAACACTTGACTGGTTGGTTAAGCTAAGGATGCAGAAGAGAAATGGATGTATTTTTGATGAGCTTTATTGTGGTTTGAAGATGAAATTTCTTTTCTTTGTATAAAAAGGAAAAAACATTTTTCCAAATCTAACTTGGCACACTGCCTTAGTCAAAAATTTATAAGTTCATTTCAAATACAATTATCTTCAGTTCAATAGTGACTTTTCTGAATTTGGGGTTTTATGGCTACAAAATAGAAAGGTTAGAGAAGATGTCTAAGGTTCTTTCCAGCATCGTGGTTCTGTGATTACATTAGGACCTTGGCTGAGTTTTAGAACAAAATTTAAATTACCCAAGTACAAAGCAGCTCTAAAAATGGAATATCTTCAGATGAATTAGATTTTCTTTCCAATCTAATCTCTTCTTACAAAGTAGTCAGAATCTGAACTTTGTATCTAAATTTCTAAGCTGTGATATATGGCGACATTTAGGAAAAGGGAAACACAGAAAGAGACAAACTGTAGCAGCATGAGTAAGAATAATAATATAAACCAATTATCCTAGAGCTTAATAGTTCCTCATAATTTCTCAGGTCTTCTTAGAACTGTTCCTCTACATAGCTTGGTTAAAGGTTTTGAGTAGCATGGTGGAAATGGTAAGGATTGCATGTGCCATTTGGTTGCTTTTTTCTTTACTTCATCAAAGCTATACTCTCTGTTTACATTTGAACTTTGTTTTATTGTTTGTTTTGCAGCGAAAACGGAAGCAGAGCGCCCAAGATGAAGATGCTGTTAGCCTTTGCAGTCTCGACATAAGTGTAAGTTAGTTCTTTCTGCCTCCCTTGGCATCTCTGAACATTATATTTGTTAATATGCTGTGTACTTGAAGTGGGCTTCTGGGATCTGACTCTGGAAGTTGTGACTTGGGAGAAATTTTTTTTTTTTTTTAATTCATTTCACTGGAGAAAGCTGTGTGGCCAACTTAAACTTCCAAGCTGAGTTGTTTATCGCCTATGTCTTTTCTCTCCTAAAATGAGTTGTGAACTCAGTGCATCTGGGTAGAATCTAGTAAATCCTGCTGTGCTATTTTAGAGGCTAATTCAAGAAGATGGCCCAGATGTTTATCCCCCTTGGGGGTGAAATTACTGGGTTGGCCAGACTCAGGCAGCCAGTGGCCCAAAGGCCGGGAGGAGACTCCAGCGGCGTGGTGGAGGGCGCCTTTGTTTTCAGTTTGAGTCAGATTCTATGCTTGCCATTTGTGTGACACGTTTCCTCACCTGTTTCCTCATCTGCAAAATAGGGATGAAAAGACTTAGCAAAATTTTTATGAGGGTCAAATACGACAAAAAAAGTGAGAATACCAAACACATCTCCTGGTATGTACTAGGCACCAACTGAACGTTAGCCTCATTGTGTTTTTCTCTAAGCAGAAGTTTTGCAAAAGATGCGTAAGTGACTTGGTAGTGGAATGTTGGTGATGATGGAGGTAAAAAGCTTCCTCAGATCTTGTAGGCCATGTCCTTGGATGCTTACTTTCAGCAGCTTTCTTTGCATGGCCTCCTTTTCTCCCCACTAACAAGATTTGAAGCCTACCTGGGCCTATGACGCTCTCATTATCCAGGCGCTGGGTGTGGGGTGGGAATTCAGGCCCTTTCCGGGCTCCCTGTCTATTCATCGTTTATGCTTCCCTGGGGTTTAGGCCCTGTGCTTTGTGGGTCCATTAACGTTAGGCCCTGGTCTGTCTTCTCCACAGAGACCTTGAAAGCTACTCTTATGAGATGAGAGGGCTTCCATGCTAAGAGTTAAGAACCGAGTTGTGATCTTGGCTCTACCTATAACTAGCAATGTATCCTTGGGCAAGTCATTTTCCCTCTCTGGGCCTGTTTCATCATTCGTTTAAAAAAAAAGATTTGGAAACAGGTCTAAAACTTTTGTGAATATGTGAAACTCGTCGAATATGGATTGTCAGGTAGTCATCTGATGACATTTATTTATCAGTATAAACAACGCTCTTTTAGTTATTTTTAATTATTGCAGATTTTTATGTGATGCAAACAGCCATGATGGAGTGAGCCTGAGCTGGCATCTAATTAATGCACTTGAGTGTCTTTATTTCACCATATGGTGTTTGTCTGTTCCCGTCTTTGGACCACCAGATGAAAGGAGTTGGGCCAGCTTACTAGGTTGCCACAGTGACGGGACAAAAAGATGATGTTCTTCTCGGTTTTACTTTACTCATTGAGTATTTTGTTATTGACAAGCAAAGTCTTGGGACTTCCCTTATCAGCAATAAGACTCTTTGTGTTTGAATTTTTAAAATTTTGTGAAAATCTATTTTTAGAATTTAAAGATTTTCAGCACGTAAAGACTGTCAGTGTTTACAGAGCCCTTAGCTGTCATGTGTTCCAGTCCCCTTACTTTGCAAATGAAGAAGTAGAAGCCCAGGGAGGTGTAGTGACCCCGGCAAGACTTTAATCCAGGTCATTTCTAAGATCATGCCTCATCTTACATTTTTCTTCAACTATATATTGATAATTTATTTTTCAGGAAAGCATGTCTCCAGATTTTTTTTGTTATCAAAGAACCACTAAACTCTATTATATTAAAGAATACTTTGCAATTATGAGTTGTGATTTGGTTTTCTCTCAATTGGCATCAATGGTCTTGCCTTCCCATCAAGGTCTTTTAAGCCTCAGAAAATGGATAATTCAACTCCTTTTCTCCTTGTGCAGCTGCAGATAATGTTTTCCCTTTCTTAACCATCTCATGTGTCATGTTTTGTCACAGGAAAGGGACTTTTATAGAAGAGAAGTCTGCCCCTCCACCACCAGCAGGGCTATGCTTAGGGATTTGGCCCTGGCCAAACTCATTTCTGATTTACCTGCCTTTTTTCCTGGATCTTGGCAAACAGGTTTCCAGAACTTGGGCTGAGTTTCCTCCATTTATGGCCGCATAGTAATATGATAGTTATAGAATTAGAGGAATCCTAGAAGCTGTTGGAGGGACATGAATACTGCTGATTTGCAGGCTCCACTGACCATTAAAGTCATGTGGAGACCCAGGAGGTGTGACAGATCCAGATGTGGCCATGGGGGCAGTGCGACTAACTTTAAGTACCTTGCACCCAGCAGACACTCAGGAGAGATGAGTTGAATTGAATTAAGTGGTGGGTAGAGCCACACAGGAGAAGATGTTTTGCCATAAAGACAACAGTGGCTACATGAACATCTGAGTCCAATAAGTTAATTGTTCTCACAAACAAATGGCTTTTGTGGGCTACCCAAAGGGATTTTATATTTGTGCTTTTAAATGGGGATATCCAGTAGACTCCCAGTCCCTAATAGCTGGCAGTATTACTGAAGAGTTTCTCTGAGTCTGCTTCTATGTGTAGTGGAAAGTATCTGAGGGAAAAAAAAGGTGGGTTCCAGTGGATGACTCATACCAGAGGATGCGAGGGTTTGGGAAAGTAATATGAGTAACTCTCAATTTCGATTCCACTTAATGCGTGGAAAGATATTCACCAGGTGTGTGCTTTGAACAAGAAATTGCTAGATGAGGGGACAGGTGTTGTTTGGGGACCTGGTCAAGTTTCTGTTGAGTCCCAGCCCAATGCTGGGTACGCAGTGGGTTCTTGCTAAATACTGTTGATTGACGGGTTTGTTGTTTATTTATTTTTATTCTTCCATGTACTTTTTAATTTATTTTTAACATTTATTTATTTATATATCAATAGATTCAGGGGGTACAATTGGTTTTTTGATACATGGATGAATTGTATAGTGTGAAGTCAGGGCTTTTAGTGTAACCATCTACATTGCACCCGAAAGGTAATTTTTGATCCCTACCCACGTCTCCTCTCCTCCCTGCTTAGTCTCCAAAGTCCATTATACCACTCGGTATGACCATGTATACCCATAATGATTGATGGGTTAAAAAACAAAAACAATGCATTCCCCTAATGTGTACCCCTTTTAAAGAAATTTATCTGTGACATAAAGTTGGGAAATGTTAACACAGATGAAATCCCACTTTGATTAAAAAGTGCCATATAGAACCCTTCAGGATGTCTGAGTGATGATAACACCAGACATTCCCACTGACATGTTGCTTTGTTTTAAAGCCGTGGATGATGGTTCTGTTAGGTTCCTGGAGGGGAGTTTCCCTACTGAGCCCCTCTCCAACCTCCTGTTGAATGTGGACTTAAGAGACCAAATAGGAGTGAGTAAGCTAAGAAAAGAGTTTGTTCTTACAGAACAGGAATCTTCAATTGTTAGGGGAAGGGGGATGTGTCACTGACTCTTTTGGGGATCTGGTGATAGCACTGGGCTCCAGAAAATTTTACCATTGATGTGTGATTTTAGGGGGTTCGTGGACCCTAGCCAAGATGCTATATTAAGAGTTCCTCTTACAGAGGAAACTGGAAGGGCCTTAAAGTCTGGTGATGGGCGACATATCTCCAAGTAATTGTTCTCCCACCCTCCACCCCCAGCACTTAGTGAAAAATGAATTCGGACTGGAGAGTCATCGCTAGTTGATGATATAATTGGTCTCTGTTTTTTCCCTCCACTTCACCCAATCCCCTGGCTGAGCCCCCAGCTTCCTGGCAGGATAGGACACAACTATTCTAGAGGAAAAATAAAAAGCAATATACACTTTTGACAACAGTCCGCAGAGTGCAGAAGGCTCCCAGCAGCCACCTACGAATCTCCTCTCACGTCAGAGGATACGAGTGGGATGGCTTCAGAGAGCTCGCCTCCCCCACAGAATTTAAATTTTCTAGTTTAAATTCTAACATGTAAGAGATGCCTGAGCGATAGGCAGGAAAGACTATCGGTGGGAGAGACAGGTGTGTTCCGAGGGCGGGAACAGCTCAGCACTAGGACCCCTCCTTTGCTCAAGACACAAATGAGCTCTGGGTGGACATAAAAATAGCCTCCAATGATAAAGTAATTTAGAAGGTGAAAAAGAATATAAAAAATTTGGAAAATGTGAACAATAAAATACAACAATCCCACCTCAAAGCA